CATCTGGCCAGAGACCAGCCTGTCTCCTCCTGCTCTGAAATGTCAAAAACAGACCAGCCAAGATCCCAGCTGCTTCTCACCTCTGTCAGTGTACCACTTGGGGTTATCGATGAATTCCCGGATATCTCTGACAATTCGGTCGGCCAGACCCTGTTGTAGAACCACAGAATTCAGTGGCCGCCGGCGGCGGGGATAGCCAAAGGGGCGCCATTCAGAACCCACAGCTGTGTACATCACGGTTTTCCCTTCCTCCTGCTGCAAGGCTAGCTCTCGAGCTAGGAGGGGAAAGATGAGATAAGGCCAATAGTTCTCTTCACCATGGCTGATTCTCCAACTAGGTAGAACTGTGCCAAACAGCTTCCTTCTGGACCCTGCTCCCATGAGCTCATATCCTCTTTTTTTTTTTTTTTTGAGACAGAGTCTTGCTCTGTTACTCAGGCTAGAGTGCAGTGGCCTAGCTCACCGCAACCTCAAACACCTGGGCTCAAGCAATCCTGCCTCAGCCTCCTGAGTAGCTGGGACTATCGGTGCACACGACCATGCATGGTTAATTTTTTCTATTTTTAGTAGACACCAGGTCTTGCTGTTGCTCAGGCTGGTCTCAGACTCCTGAGCTCAAGCAATCTTCCCGCCTCAGCCTCCCAGAGTGCTAGGATTATCACTGTGAGTCGCCCGCCTGGCCCATATCCTCTTATTCCTCTTCTCCAAACTGCTCTTTTTCTGATGTCAAATGTCCCCACCCCAGCAACCCCCCCTAGAGTGCCTGCCTGTGCCATCCCACACCTTCCTCCAGGATGTTGAAGAAAACCTTTCGGTCAGTGCCCAGGGCTGTGAAGGTGACAGATTCCCAAGGAGTCCCTGTCTGCAAGTCTATCATCTGCATCTCTCGACTTCGTTCTACCCGGATCCATTTCCCCTGATACCTGAATTAAGAACAGTCAAAGTAGAGTGAGTGAATGGGTCAAACCCAGCTCCCTTTGTTCTCTTTTTATACTCTGAGAGCCCTCCTTGACTCCCAACCTTACCAGATAAAGTGGTTTCCAGGGCTGGGGACAAATTCAAACTTGGTGGAAATGCGGCCACTCTCGTGCTGAAGGTACGAAGTCTCAACACTGAGGTGCTGCGTACGGGTACTGTGACGGGTAAGCCAGCTAAGCAACCAGGCATAGCTCCTGTCTCGAGCAGGGACTTCCAGTGTGATCATGTAATGGCGCCGGAATGCCACCAGGCCCAGTTGGGCACCCTTCCGGGCCAGGGCCAGGGCTGTGCCCACACCCACCAGCCCAAATCCAGCTCCAAAGTAGGGATTGTCCTTCAGGGCCAGAATAAAGTCCGAAAGTGGCATCTTGAAAGGGAGACACCGACCCTTATAGGCTCTGGAGCATCATCAAAACCTAGGGGTGGGAAGCAGTGGAGATGGGGCAAATTACAAGATTACTTTAGAAACTGGACTCCAGGGTACCACCCCAGCCCCGCCCCACTCTTTCCTGCAGAAGCAGGAAGGAAAGGTCAGCTCGACTGTGTGCTTCAATATCCTCCTCTTGTGGGGGAAGGGTGATGTTAGAATGCAAAGGCCAAGACTCCAGACCCTTCATACTATTTTGCCCTTCATCATACCTCAGTTTCCTGTCAGAGGACCACGTCTGGAGATTTCTTAAACTGGAGAGTACAATGTAACTGGCTTCATATGAGGATAATGGATGGCCAGAATTTTTGTGGTCCCTGGGACCAACTGAGATAGAAAGGGGCCCACTGGCTGGAGTCAGCAGGAGTGACTCTTCCATTGACTTGTCTGTAACCGCATGCCTTGTTACTATGAGTAATGTCCTTCAAATATCCTCTCCCTCACATGTCCAATTCCTAATGTCCCGTTTAGACGTTTATTACCTCCCACCTAAACTGTCTCTTTAAAATCAAATTTTAGTTATTGAAACGGGATTTTAATGGGTTTCCACCTCCTACTCCACCAAACAACTACACAGGGGTCCAGATCTTTCTTCATAAGGATCAGCTCCAATTGTATCACCTTCCCTGCTCCAGCACCTTGAGTGGCTGAGGCCCAAAAGACCCCTGAATTGGGTATAAACTCAGCCTAGCACTCAAGGCCCTCCACAACACAGCACCCACCCATTTTTCATGGCTTAGCTTCTAATACTCCCTGTTCGACGAATATGCGACTTCCCACCTCCTCGCTCATGCAGTTCTCTTGGCTCGGAAGGCCCTTTCTTTATTCTCTCAATTCTCCCCATCTGAAATCCTATCTGCGACTTCCTCCACAGAACCTTTCCAGAATTCCGCCCCTAGAAAATGTTACTGGGCCTAATTGTAGACAATAAGATCTCGAGGGATGGCGCAAAGTTGTTCCTAATACGCCTCTCCTCTGACCCCCCTACTCCGACCCACCTCCACCACTTTGCTTTGAGCCTGGAACGCAGAGCAGTGAATTGACAGCAGTGACCTCGGCTAAGGCTCCGAGCTGGGATCCAGCATTCCAAAACACCTAAGCATGGAGAGCCGCAGACAAAGGTCTCTTGCCCCTAGTCCTTGCGGGACACCCAGAAACCCCCTCCCGAACCTCCTGCACACGCCAGCTCGCGCCTTCAGCAACGTGGTTTGGAATAACCCATCACTCCGCCCCCTTACCGCCATGACTCTCTGGCCCTCCGTCTCGTTGGTTTCACTCTGCAGTTGAAGGAAGCGGCTGTCGGCCCCGCCCCCGAGTTCTTTCATCTACTTCCCGCCACACCCACTGAGAAGCCATGCCACTCTGCCCCGCAACTCTCGATGGTACTCTTATCGGCTTCAGAGTTGTGGGGAGGGGCGGGAGAAGCGACACACGAGAAAAACCATAGAGTCGTGGCAGCCGATAAGAGGACGAGAGAGTGGCCTCCATATGCCCGATGTCCTAGAGGCGGCTGGGCCAGAGGTGGTCGCACAAAGGGAGCCCCGGGAGGCCGCTCCAGCTGCTGTCGACCATAGAGATGCGGCTCCCGCCGGCCCTGGGCTGGGAGGTGAGTGAGCTGCTGCGAGGCGAGAGCTCGGAGGGAGTGCGGGTGGAGCGAGCTGGAGGCAGAAGTTTCTCGAGCCCTGGGATGAGAGTGGGCCTGGGCCGTGGGAACTCTCGGGAAGAGCTACTGAAGGGAGCACGCTGAGGAGCCGGGCCCCGGCGCCTCCGGAGCGTCACGGCTCTGTGGGGTACCCGCTGCTATTCAGGACCATAATCATGACGACGCTCCATTCCAAGCTTCGCAGGTTACAGAACGCTTTTCCCGTTCTCTTGCTCTTGTGATTCAGCTCCTACCCGACGTTGTGGACGCTGTCACTGCCTCCATTTTACAGATAGGAAAGCTGAGGCCCAGAGAAGCGAGGCGACTGTATCTGTCCAAGTCGACGCGGTGAGTCAGAGCCCAGAGGCAGGTGGGAACCCTTGTACTTAGGCCGGGGCTCGTTATTTCCCCAGGCCTTCTTTGCCTTAATCTGTCCTTTCTCTTCCTCATTACTGCTGCCCCCAAAATAAACACATTTCTTCTCTAGTGCCCACCTGTCTCCTACCTTACCCCGCCTTCCCGCCAGTGAAGGTTCTCAATCTAGACGGCGCCACGTCCTCCTTGGCCTTCCTCCAGAGGCCTCAGGAAGATTCTCCAGAGCAGCGATAATACTCAGTAAGTGGAGGCTGCGGTTACCAGAGAATCCGTGTGACCGCTTCCCTGCCCGCTTCTCAATCCCTGTGATCCCATGTTTTGAGTCGTGGGATTCTGGAGAATAGAGACCATCAGATTACAGGATCTAGGTTTCTTTTTCCTTTTGCATCTTCTCACCTGCAACCTGGCCTTTACTCGATCTCTGAGACTCAATTTCATGAAGTGAATACTGCCATTCTTAGTAATTCAGCTTAAACTCATTTTAGCCGTGAGTAAGAGGATATGCAATGTAATTGCGATTCATTTCTCAGTTATGTTCCCGTGTTCAGTTTGAGGCCATAGTCAATCAAGGAGTTTGAAATGTCTCCAGATGTGTTACTTTTTATGTGAGGAACCACTGGTTTGGTATCTTGGTACAAGATGCCTCGCTTTACTCTGATTCAGCTCCATGTCTAGTTCTTCACTAGAATCTTATTTGTCCGATTTGCATAGATTGTTGCTGATTTGTATTTGTTGAAATGATAATGTCGATAAACTACTCAAAAAGCTGTACATGTAGAGAGGGAGACTGAAAGGTAAACAACAGTGCAGTGTGACACAGTTTCTGATAGGGCTATGTACAAAGTGCCATTAGGACCCAGGAGAGAGAAAGTAAGTTAAGCGTGTCAGGAACCCTTCATAGTGGAAGTGACTCTTGTGGAGCTTCTTAAAGGATTGTTAGGAGTTGGTTAGCTAGATGAGAGAGAAAGAGAGGAAGAGGGAGATTGAGAAAGGGAAAAGGCACATCAAGCCAAGAAAGAGACAAAAGGCTGTGAGGATGTGGAAGCAAAAGAGAATGTGGTGAGTCTAGAGAATGGCAAATCATCTGGTTCAGAGATCTGTTGAGAGGAGAGATGGAAGATGAGTCTGGAGAGGTCAGCAGGGTCCAGATCATGAAGGAAGGGCGTTATCCCAAATTGAGGAATAGTGACATTGTCAAATATTCAGAGGGAAAGGGATCTCTGAGGTCCTTTGGCCTCGCCTAATTTTGTTGCAGATAAGAAAACTAAGGCCCAGATTGCTTAATAATTTGACCAAGGGCACTTAGCTAGCAAGAAACATAACCTGCAGTCATTAATATGCTGGCCAAAGCTTGTTAGCTCTCTCCTGATATTGACGCTTATTATTTGTATACTTTTTGGTCTGAACATGGTTGTAAAAAGGAAGCTTCTATTTAGGTTAATAAGGTGTGGCACGCTGCCATGCAAGGCAGTAACTAAGTGGGTGGGCACTGGGCTGTGTACCAACACCAACCTGGAAGAAAGCAAGAACTCTAACGATATTTTGTTTTTCTTCTGGTTGGCTTCTCAGCATTTAGGAGGCCACAACACACAAGTCGCTGGTGATGACAGACCCCGTGTTGGACTCACAGCCAACCAACAGCACTGGGGAGATGGATGGACTGTGCCCTGAGCTATTGCTGATCCCTCCGCCTCTCTCTAACCGTGGAATCCTGGGGCCCATTCAGAGCCCCTGTCCTTCTACTGGGGACCCCACACCTTTGCCTACTGATCCAGGCTGCCTGCTGGTAGAGGCCACAGCAACTGAAGAGGACCCAGGGAACATGGAGATCATTGTGGAAACGGTAGCTGGAACCTTGTCCCCAGGTGCTCCTGGAGAGACCCCAGGTACAAACGCAGTTGCAAGCAGGCCAGTGGGACAAGCCGCCCGAGGTTCTGTCTGTGCTGTTTTTGGCTCTTCTGTATAAATATGATGAGAACACAAGGTAGCATCCTATTTTTATACTTGGAGATGTTGTAATCTGGTTTGCAGTTGGTGCATGTTGATTGAAGGCTGGTGCACAACCTTGTACCAAGTTTTTGGCAGAGTCTGTCCCTGTGAGGGCTTCATGTCTGCTAGGCGCTAATCCAGAAAGGGAGACCTTTCTGATCCCTCTGCCCAATCCTGGCTTGTCCTTACTGTTAGAGTCCCTTGGGATTCTTTCCTCCATATTGACCCTTCCACCAAGGAACTGCAGCCAGGGATTAGGCAAAAGGCCTAGCATGTCTCTACCACCCTGGGCTTGGCAGGGCTTTCCAGAGGTAATCTGGTATTTCCCTGCCCTAGTTTCTCACGTATAACATATTTTACTCATCCAAGGAATGCTGTTAAGTGTAGGTGTTGAGGCTGGGCACAGTGGTGTGCGCCTGTAGTCCCAACTACTAGGGAGCCTGAGATGGGAAGATCATTTGAGCCTAGGAGTTTGAGGCTGTAGTATGCTATGTTGACAGCTGTAAATAGCCGCTGCACTCCATCCTGGGCAACATAGTGAGACCCCGTCTCTTAAAAAAAAAATAGAGTAGGAGTTGACCATTTATATTTATCCTAGGAGGAAGACTCTCCCTTTGTTCATCCCATATTTATAACCTCTTATTTTCAGAAAACTTCTCTGTTTTTTAACTGCCATCCTCCAGCGATAGTTGTCAGTACTTCCCTTGGCAGTATAGTATAGTGATAAAGAGTACTAGGAAAGATTAGCTAATTTGACTGTGTAATATTTGTAAATTTGTGTGTGGTAAAAGGAATTTTTTTTAAAAAAGAGCCTGGGAAAAACACTTGCAATATATAAGAAAGAGTTAATAAGATGAAAAAGAAACAGCTTTATTTAAATGAGAAAAAGAAAGCTACATGCCTTTCACTAAAGAAGAAATAAAAATAGTTAACGACCATATGGGAGGATGCTTAATCTCACTAACAAACAAATTTCAGTAAAAAATAACTATGAGGTGCTGTTTTTGTTTCTCAACTTTGGCAAAATTAAACATTTTTTCATAATGCCTAGTTTTGGTGAGGCTATAGGAAAACACTATCTTACAACTTACGGAAAATTAATATAATCTGCATTTAGCTATGTAACAAATTTTACAATATGCACACTCTGACCCAGTAATTCCACTCTAGGAAACGGTCCTATAGAAAGACTCACACACATACACAAAGATACAGAAATAAGGATGTGTAGTGCAGCTTTATTTGTAATGGTTGGAAACAGCCCAAATGTCTATCAGTAAGGGCAGAATTTCTTTTTTGTTTTCATGACAGCCTACCATTGAAACAGCAGAATTTCATTTTGATTTATCCATGTTCTGAACTACCATGAACTGGAAAAAAAAAAATATGAAGATGATTTAAATGCATTTCAATGTACTCATAGATAAAAATATCTTTAATATATAGCAAGTGAAAAAAAAAAAAAGGCCTGAAAGGATACACACTAAGCTGTATGTGTGAGAATGGGAATGGTTATTCTTTCTTTGTATACTTCTGTATCATTTGAATTGTTGCATCGAACTTTTCTTTTAAACAAAAAAATGATAAAAAGGACCAGCAGAATAAATGTAGGACAAATGTGGGCTTGAGTCATGGCTCTTCCACTAACAAGCATGGTGGCCTTAACTGCATGGAATCCTAGGTCCCTCTTATAGGGCTGTTGGAGGACCAAATGAGAGCATTTCTTAAGCTTTTCTTTATTGAGGTCCTGCTCATTGCTTTAAAAATTGCAGCAATTATGGAGGTGATTTGGCTGCTCTCAAAAAGGATGTTCTCCATTTTATGAATTCCTCTACAGAATTTGAAAGTAACACTTTGTCAGTTATATTGCAGATATTATCCCTAGTTTGTCATTTTCTTCTTTTGGAAGTTTCTAAATTTTATTTGGGCAAAACGTGTCGCCTTTTCTTAATGCTTTCTGGATTTGATTAATGTTTGTTTATTCATTTAAAAAATACTTACTAAACACCTATCTTGTGCCAAGTATTGTGTTTGCTGGATACTAGGAATCCAAGCACATGTGCCAAATAGACTGTCCCTGACCTTATGGGGCTTACAGCGCAGGTGTAGAACCAGACTTAAAAGTCCATCTGTTCTCCATGAATATTAAAAGTTTCACCTACATTTTCTGCTAGTAACTAACTCCTATGAGTCTTGTTCCATCTGATTCTATGCCTTTCTCTGTCGGTCCTCTGCCTGCAGGTGTCCTGGTAAAGGTGGTGGAGGTGTACTTCTGTGAGCGCTGTGAACAGAGCTTCGCAGAGCCCACTCTGCTGGCCCTGCACCAGTGCAGTGAGACCCATATACAACCGGTGCAGGGCCTCTCTAGCCCCTCGTGCTCTGTAGAGCTGCCCCCCAGCAACCTTAACCTCCCTGGCTCTCTGCAGGGCCAGAGCCCGCCAGATAGCCCCCTGCCATGCCCTGTGTGTAAACAGGAGTTTGCCCAACCCCAGGCCCTGAAGAGCCACTTCAAGATTCACCGGGGCACTCCCGACACCTTCTCCTGCCCAGAATCTGGCTGTGTGTTCTCTGCTGAAGATCGCAAGGGTCTGCAGCATCACCTGAGGCAGACCCACAGAGCAGTTCCCGTGCCCTGTTCTTTCCGTGGTTGCCCTTTGCTTTTCGGGAGCCAGCAGGGCATGGAGCTGCACCGGCAGGCCCATTACCCTTTCCACTGCAGCCATTGCAGCTTCGTGGGCTCCAACGTCAAAGTCTTCCGGCAGCATCAATGGAGCCATGGGGCCGGGACACAGGAAGAACATTCTGCCGTTCAGGGCCTTTCATCTCAGGAGCTGCTGCCAGGTATGAGGCCAGGGGCCCAGCAGTCCCCCTCTTGGAGTTCAGCCACAGTTGATCTTATGGGACAGGCAGTTGTTTCCAGTGCCATAGGGGTGCATGAGTACAAGGGAATCTAGATAACGGCTCAGGAGAATGACATGGGAAGGCATCTAGAAACCTTGAACCAGTCAGAATATATGGCAAAAGAGAAAGTCTTTGTCTGTCACGATGAGTGAAATTTGGCTTAGGCTACATATAGCCTGAAGTTAATCAATATTAACTGATCCATTTCAGAACTTTCTGAGGGCAAAAGCAAAAATGCCCATCATTGGTTATAGCCACTGGTAGAATGCCTGTAGATTCCCTTTTAGAGCAGCTGGGATTAGGAGATTGGGCAGGAGAAGTTGGGGTTATTTTAAAAAGGAACCTTATGGGAGATGGTGTTTTACTGATTCTTACTCTTGGTCTCAAAAAAAAAAGTTCCTGGGGATGAATAGAGGAGCAGAAGGAAGGAGGAAAAACAGGCCAGGAGAAACCAGGATTCTGATGAGAGAACTTGGCTTGCTAACACTCACTTATGCTTTGTGCCTGAAGGGAAGACCTTTTTCCTGGAAACTAGTCATATATCTTTGCTTTACTCAGGTAGTTGCCTCTGTTGGAGGATAGAAGGGATGGATTTGGGGGCGGGAAGGCACTAGAACACTTTAGAAATCAGGGTATGTTTACACTCAGCCACCAGCCATTATCCCTGGGTACCTGATCCATGGAATTATAGTCTACCCATTCTCTACTCTCAGCTCCCTACCCCTACCCTAATGACCTCAAAGCTCTTACAATCAAGGGTTCTGAAATTGGTGCTATCTGAGGTTTGATTTACTTTAGACTGGAGTATTGCTGATAGATTACCTTCTGATCTTCCTATCCCTGCCTTGAGTGAGAATAAATTTATTTATTTAAAGCTCAAGATTCTCTCATGCTAAAAGTGGAGGAGGGTGATTCTTTCAGCCAGTAAATGGAGAAGGACAAGCATTCATTGCTGTCATTGGCTCCTGAAGACTTTATCAAGTTTTATATGTCTCTAGCTCCCAAACTGCCTCCAGGAGAGGGAGAACCTTCAGAGGAAGCAGGTACAACCTTGCCTGGGCAGGAGTCAGCTGAAGAGGAGGATGTAGAGGAAGAAGAGAAGAGTGAGACCCAGAAGGACTCCCAGAAGGCCCTGGACAAAGGCCAAGGGGCTCAGCATTTGGAAGGTAATGTCATCAGGCTTGAAACTCTTGGTGGTGAGGAGGAGTGGATTGTGGAGAGCCTGGCATTGAGGCTGTTGGGTTTGTTTTCTGAGCTTTGGTTCAGATCCTTCCATTCTTCCCATTTTACCTTGACCCAGAAGTCAGGATCTACTGGGAAAATGATAAATGGGTAAGTGGTAAAGATGCTAGTAACACAGGGTAGGGATAACTGGAGTTTGCTTTTCTGGGCTGATTTTCCTCAGACAGAAAACTCTTTTACAGAGGGTGATGTTCATAGTGTAAAGATGCCAGAAGTTATGATGATTAGCAGCCTGTTTTGTCTGGCATTGAGCCCCCTAAGATTTTTCTCTGAATCCTTGCTTCCTGCTTTTCTTTTCTTTTTTTTTTTTTAGCATAGGTCAGTCCAAATGCTTCCCGTTTTTCAACTGAGTAGAACATTTGAAACACATCCCACAGGGGGCAAATTTATTGTCAGGTGAATTAGAAAGATCTGATTGTATTATTACCAACTCTTTATTTTTTATTTTATTTATTTATTTTTAATTTAATTTAATTTTATTTTATTTTTAGAGACGAGGTCTCACTCTTTCGCCCCAGCTGGAGTGCAGTGGCATGATCATAGCTCACTGCAGCCTCAAACTCCTGATTCTCCCGCCTCAGCCCCCCAAGCAGCTAGGACTAGAGGTGCACATCACTGTGCCTAGCTATTACCAGCTCTTTATTATCTAGCACCATTGAGCCAGTATTTGGAAATAAAAATACTTTACCTTCTTTCCTTCTGCTCACTCCTTTTGGGGCAACTTTACTTTTAACCTTTTAACCTTCAGCATTGCTGATTCTTCCTCCTGCTCCAGTAGAACAAGGGCAGGAAGAATAATAATGCTCCATCCTGATTGTTCTTTTGAGCAGCTATAAACAAAGGCTCAAGAATAGCTAGTGGCTAGGTGAAGCACTTCAAACAGGCTACAGCAAGGTCTGAGATGTTCTTATAATGTTGCTTCTCTTAATAATTTCTCATCCTTTCTTTGAGACTATAATGTTTGAGACCCTATTACTTAGTTTCCTGGAGAGAAAGGCCACATTGTTTGTATCTGGGCAAACTGTGGTTCTCCCATTATCTGGCTAGCGCTGACCTGTTGAAGAATCTCACTCTCAACCCTCTCTGTATTCCTTCTCCCAGGGGATGTGGCTTCTGGTACTGAGTCCCTCTTCAAGACCCACATGTGTCCAGAGTGCAAACGCTGCTTTAAGAAGCGGACCCATCTGGTGGAGCACCTGCATCTCCACTTCCCAGACCCCAGCCTCCAGTGCCCCAACTGCCAGAAGTTCTTTACCAGTAAGAGCAAGCTCAAGACCCATCTGCTGCGGGAGCTGGGTGAGAAGGCCCACCACTGCCCACTGTGCCACTACAGCGCAGTGGAAAGGAATGCACTCAACCGCCACATGGCCAGCATGCATGAGGATATTTCCAACTTCTACTCAGACACCTATGCCTGTCCTGTCTGCCGTGAGGAATTCCGCCTCAGCCAGGCCCTCAAGGAGCACCTCAAGAGCCACACAGCAGCAGCTGCAGCAGAACCATTACCCCTTAGCTGCTTTGAGGAGGGCTGCAGCTATGCAGCACCCGACCGCAAGGCCTTTGTAAAGCACCTGAAGGAGACCCACGGAATGAGGGCTGTGGAGTGCCGCCATCACTCATGTCCCATGCTGTTTGCCACAGCTGAAGCCATGGAGGCCCACCACAAGAGCCACTATGCCTTCCACTGCCCCCACTGTGACTTTGCCTGCTCCAATAAGCATCTTTTCCGTAAACACAAGAAGCAGGGCCATCCTGGCAGTGAAGAGCTGCGCTGTACCTTCTGCCCCTTTGCCACCTTCAACCCAGTGGCCTACCAGGACCATGTAGGCAAGATGCATGCTCATGAAAAGATCCACCAGTGCCCCGAGTGCAACTTTGCCACTGCCCACAAGAGGGTGCTCATCCGACACATGCTGCTTCATACCGGTGAGATGGCTTCCATCTTTATAATAATGTAGTAGTAATGATGGTAATGATAATGGCTAATATGACCTTTAACTGTATACCAGATACCACATGAAGGGCCTTGCATACATTGTCACATTTGACCAAGAATTCCTAGAGATAGATTCCAAGTTTACAAATGATCCTTGAGGGCCGGGCACAGTAGCTCACACCTGTAATCCTAGCACTCTGGGAGGCCGAGGTGGGAGGATAGCTTGAGCTTAGGAATTCGACACCAGCCTGAGCAAGAGTGAGACCCCATCTCTACCAAAAAAAAAAAAATTTAAAAAAATGATCCTTAGCAAGGCGCGGTGGCTCACGCCTGTAATCCTAGCACTCTGGGAGGCCGAGGCAGGCGGATTGAGCTCAGGAGTTCGAGACCAGCCTGAGCAAGAGCGAGACCCCGTCTCTACTAAAAATAGAAAGAAATTAATCAGACAACTAAAAATATATAG